CATACTTTTATATATCATATATTTTATATATCATATAAAAATGTTTATATATAATATATAAAAATATATCTACATATTTTTATTTCATTGTTCTCAAATATATAATATATAAACATATTATGTATATTATATGATGTAATATACAACCTATATAAATATGACATTTTTGTATCTATAAAAACTTCGGAAAGGGCATGGAATTTACCTTATATTGGCGCTCTGTGAGGAACAGGGGAGTGGCTTTCACACTCCTTGGATTTGTTTCCATAATTCTGTTGGATGCTGTATTAGTTTCCCATTGCTGCTGTAGTGAGTTACCACAGACTCAGTGGCTGAAAACAAGCCAGGTGGATTATCTTATAGTTTTGGAAGTCAGAAGTCTAGAATAGATCTTGCAGTGCAAACACGATGGTGTCTGCAGGGCTGGTTCCTTCTGGAGGCTCCAGGGCAGAACCTGGCCTGCTGCAGCTTCCAGAGAACATCTGCATTCCTGGGCTTGTGACTCCTTCCTCACCTTCAAAGCTGGCAATGGCGTCACTCCTGCCTCTGCTTCCACCATCACATCTCCTTCTCTGCCTCTGACCCTCCTGCCTCCCCCTTTCACTTACAAGGACCCTGTGTAATATTGGGCTCACTTGGGTAATCCAGGGTTCGCTCTCTGTCTCAAGATTGTCCCACCTGCAACATTCCTTTGTGCCGTGTAAGGTAATATATTCTCAGCTTCTGGGAATCATGGTGTGGACATCTTGGGGAGCCATTATTTTGCCCACCACAGGTGGGAATGGTTATGTCCATTTTACAGATGAGCAAATAAATTCAGAGGTGTTGGCCAATGTTCCCAAGACCACTCAGCTGGTAAATGGGTGATCAGGATTTGAATTCAGAGTAGCCTCATCCTAAAGCCAAAGCTCTTTCTCCCCAGAACGTTTTTCTATTCCACACTCTCAGCCTCATGCTGAATTTAGCCTCATGCCTTTCCAGGAACTGGGGTCAATGCTACCATTTTAAGGACTGTTTCCAATGGACTGTTCTGCATCTGTCCTTGCATCTCCAGCTCTTTGAGAAGATGAAAGGGGGACAGACTATACAATGTACTTCATTTCACCTAACTTCTGCTGGCCTTCAGCTCTCAGGTTCCTGGTCCCTGTCTCCAGGAATCCCTCCCAGAACACCTTATTTGAGAGGGAAGCTTGTCTCCGTGTTGCATGTAGTAATTGTTTCCAGGTTTGCTTTTCTCTCTAGATCATGGCAACTTCACCTGTGACAGCTGGCACAGTATGAGGGCATCTTAGGTGTCCGTGGAACGGATGAATGCATGCCTGCATGAAAGAATCCACCAAGCATCACTTCCTGCTCAGAGGAACCTCCCACACAGAGGTTCCTGCACCTCTACAACAGCAAAACATCATTTATCCTTGGGTCATAGTCAACCTCCTCCATTGGACTGTGAGCTCGTACAGGCAGGCACCACGGCAAAGGCCCTCTGTAAGCCCAGCACAGGGTCAACAGTCTGACCACGGGAGGAGCTGGCAAGAGCTTGCTAAATGGCAGGGTACCAACTGGCCATGGTCCAGATGACTGAGATCCACCAGGTCCACACTTAAAGGCAGCGGCAGGAGCGCTCTCCAGAGGCTGCGGCTCTGAGTCCTGATTTTAGAAAGGACTCCTCCTTCCCTTTCAGGACTGTGAAGTCATTTACTCTCCTTTCTGGGGTTCGTCTTTCCAAGGAATACTTTGCCCAGTATTGTCAGCTTTTAAGGAAGAAGATCTGCCTGCCAGAGCATGGGGACAAGAAGGAATGGCTTCTGGAGTCTGGAACGAAGAAGAATGGCTTCCTGTGAAGTCTTCTTGGACCAAGGGAAGAAGCGTAGCCACTTCCTCATGTGCTCCTCTTTCAAACAAGGGCAGTCACTGGACTTTCAGGCATGACGTGAGCACTCATGAGGTCCCGTATAGAACACTTTGGGGTCTCACTGGGGGGCAGTAGGAGCCCCATGATGATCCCTTTCCCCACTCCCTCGGGTTCTGAGCCAGCTGACTGTGTGACCCACAGTAAGTCACTCCTTTGGGTCTTGGTTTCCTCAACTGTCAAAAGATAGCAAGAGTCCCTGTAAAATCCTGCTGTCTACAAGGATGTCCATCGTAGCCTTATTCAAAATCACAAATTATGGAAATCTACCTAAATAGGACAAGAATAGTTACCACTTACTGAATGCATACCACTTGCCAGCCACTGCTGGAATCACTTAATGTACATTCATTGGTACAATCCTCAGTCCATCCCTATGAGGCAGGGATAATGGCCTTTAGAAGTGGGGAAACTGAGTCACACAGCTGCTGAATAACTTACATGGGGGTCATGCAGCTAATAAAAAGACACAGAGCTGGGACTGGAACCCAGAAAGCACGGCACTGCCATCAGGTTCTGAGCAGAGACATTCAACAACCCCACCCGCAGACAATGGTTAAGGAAATTATCATATAGAAAATTACTGGAGAAGGATAAATCTTTCAACACTAGTGTTAACTCAGGGAAGGTGATGATCTGCATAATTTTCTGCATCTATGATACACTTCAACAAAAAATAATAAATAAGAAAATGGAGAATCATTCTGACATAAGATTACGTGAACAAAAGCAGATTAGAGCACAGGATTACTGTGCTACTATGTAAGAAATGTACATCTATGCACAGAAAGACAAGGGAAGAATTTGCCAAACTTCCTTGGGTAGTATGATTGTAGGTAGTTTCTTCTTTGTTTCTCTCTATTTTTCTGAATTTTACAAATTTGCCCTAATGAACTGGTATTGATTTCTTTACAATACCAATAAAATACTTTACAAAAAACAAAACGAAAAATCTCCCGTACTTTCCCCATAATTTTCATCTCAGACTGACTGTGTTTTTCCACAGCTCAAAGTAAAAATTAATAAAGAAAACTAGATGCAGTCTATAACTTGAGAATAATGAGAATGAATCTTGTGAAACTTCCAGAACGTGAAACGTTGAAATGTTTTCCTCTAACAAAAAGGCCATGAAGTGGAAAGGGAAAGAGACAAAACATCATTCCTTTACATTTTTTATGATATCTATTTTTAAAAAGCATCTTGTTAGAAGGACCCGTTAAGCGTGAGGTGCAAAATGAGTGTCCTGTCATCAAGAAGTCAGAAAGACAACTGCAAGCCTCTGCCTGTTTGCATGGACATCAATCTTGTCAGTGTGAATCAGTGAGCAAGAGTGAAAATAAACAAACTACTCCATCAAGGTCAGAGAACACAAGTCTCTAATTTTAGCCCTCTCTTTCCATTTGGAAGGGAGCCTAACTGTGTCCTGTGTGCCTAAAATGTGAGGCACAGACATACCTACAAGAAAGAAGAGACACAAACATCTCATAAAGAGGGCAACTGAAGCTCAGAGATGTTGAGTGCACTGCTCAATGCTACACAGCCAAGAAGTGCCAGAGCCAGGATTCAAATCCAGTTTGATCTGATTCCAAGATATGGAAATTTCTTCTAGGTTCTGAAGCCACCCAACTTTCCCCTCCACCAAATGTTTGTTTTGCATATCGGAGGTTGAGAAACAGTGACGAGCTCTATGCCTTCTTTTGAACATATTGGCTTTTTATTAAGGTCTTCCTCTCTATTATACTGGTAGACTGGAATGTCCTTTCTCCTTTGCCTTGCAAACTCCCACATGTCTGGGGTAATGAGATGACTGCTAATGGTTTTGAAATATTTTAAATGTCATGGCAAGAGATTGAAGACTCACATCAATTCTCTGATCTGAACTCCTGGGGACAATATGGCCCTCTTTCACATATTTTATTCATTCATATTTCATCATTTGTGACTAAGTGAGAACTCAAAGGATGGAGTTATTTATTAAAAGGAAGATGACAGGGAAGCAAAATATAGAAAGGAAATATCCTCTAGATGGGTAAAATGTCAGTGAAGAACTGCATGATGAACTCCTAAAATCCAGCCCACTTGGGCATGACAAAGGACGTGCTCCTTTAAAGGGATGCCTGTTTGTTGCCTGGGGTTCCCACATGCAGTGTTGCCTGTCCTGTGAGGTGTCAGGGACTGGGTGAGAATTGTCACTCTTCAGTATTCACTTTGAGGTTTCAGATCAATAGCCTGGACACAAATGATGTCTGGATTATCCCCATCCCAGCTATTTCTTTAAAACCAAGAGTTTGCTGAGTGATAGAAAACCACATTGTCCTACATTGTCCTAATTGATGAATTCTGATGGGGAAACCCCATGCCTTAAAGGACCTTACGAACATTCCCACTGTGCTGTGTAACCCTCTGTGGCATTCTAAGGAGTAACACTCAGTTGACTTACAGAGAAGATGGCAGCCAAAGTCTCGATGCCTCCTGTACTCAGGGTGACATACAGGATCTTTGCCGGGGGGATCCCAGCTTTTCCAAAGATGATGTTGGTATAGAACCAAATCTGTAATGCAGGAAAGAATGAGAAGAGAGAATGGTCAGTGGAAGGACTTAATCTATTTTCTAAATCAAATTTGGGTATAAGGTGGTCTTTAGATTAAACTCAGAGTCCCAAGGTGGAGTGGCGTGGATGCTCATTTTTCACCTTCATCCCACCTTTTCCCTTTCTTCATTACTAAAAGAACTCCTGGACTACTGGGAGTTCCCAGCTAAAAGACTACACTTCCCAGTTTTCTTGCAGCCAAGTGTGGCGGTGAGATAGAAACAGTAATGTTGGTGGAGCTTCCAGGAAGTTTCCCTTTTTTTAAAAGGAACTTTTCATCCAGGAGGTATGCTTCCGTTTTTGTTTTTTATTTTTGTTTGCCTTTCCTTCTTTCTGTGTCAGGATGGTGGAGGTGATGGCTGGAGCCTCAGCAGCCTTTTTTGGATTACTAGGTGACTTCAGAACAGCACGGCCATTAACCTCCATGGTAACTTTATGAGAACCAGAAAAGGCCTCCACTACACAAAATGGTTTACTGTCATCCACTGAAAAATTGCCATAGTAAATCCACAATGCGTACAAGGTGAAAGATGTTCCCCAGAGTTGGGTAATGCACAACCTGTTTAACTATACCTAGAGCCCCTGCCTTGGGATGAAAGCTGCTTATTCGGATGCTGGACCAGGAAGTTAGAGTTAGCCTGTGCCCTCACTGACTACAGTGGTTCTGTAATTTGTTATCCAAACATGAACACTTTTGAGAGTGTTGATAATTATGCTGGGACAACACACATATATTGAGTGCGTCCTGGGAAAACCAGTATGTGTGGTTTAGAGTTGCTATACCAGCCCTCGCAACTTACTTCATGTGAGACAGAAAACTGTCCATCTTGTTGAGGTCTCTTTTGGGGTTTCTACCACATGAGGTTAGACCTAAATCCTCATTGACTCTCATGGCATCAGACAAGCACTGATTAGGAGTTTGGAGACCTGGCTCCATCTTGAACTAGCTGCGTGACCTCAGGCAATTCGCTCTGCCCTGCGGAGATTCCTACTCCTCCCCAGTCAAACGAACATGACCACGCTTATTTTGCCTGTCCCGTGAGGTGTCAGGAACTGGGTGAGAATGGTCACTCTTCAGTATTCACTTTGAGGTTTTTAACCTGGACGCAAATGATGTCTGGGTTCTCCCCATCCCAGCCATTTCTTTAAAATTGAGTTTGCTGAACCACAGAAAACCCATTGTCCTAATTGATGAATTCTGATGGGGAAACCCCCTGCCTTAAAGGACCGTATGAACATTTAAGAATAGTTTGATCCCTATTCAGCAGAAATGTTAGAGCACATTGTTCATATCCTGTCAGGTCCAACATTAGCTGGCCACACTCTTGCGTTTTGCTCTTTGTTTCTGGATGCTCTTGTTTCTATAGATCTGTCTTATTACCAGATGTTTTTAGCAAAAATTATTCATGCATTGGCGGGAAGACTTAGGACCTACTTATATCTACAGATGGTTAAATTTTGTGAAGAAAGTAAACCTCCATAAAGTTATGGGCAAACCGAGAGATGCCAGTGAAAACTACGACACCCATTTCTTCGAGCTTGCAGGCAGGCATACATCTATTGGCAAAAACAGGTTTTAATATTCGTGTAAACAAGAACCTTCCTGTTCTGCACCTGTCTCTCATTTGAGTGAGCGTTAGACTCCAGAAAGCATAGGTTAAACCCATACTCTTCATCAGTATCACCTTGTTCTAGGCAAAAGTAAATGGGGTGCTTAAAGCCTGAACCTTTGCTGTCACATCCATGGTGTACAGAAGTAGCGTCTAATAAATCCACCAATTCCTACAGTTCTCAGGGCTATAACAGAAGCTAACATTATCCTGAAAACCCTGTGTCCATTGAATATGTTTATACAATCGACTCCCCTTTAGGGGGTAACTGTGATCCCCAGTGCACCTTCAGGGTTGGATTCCAGAAGTGTAAGAGCCTTTCTCAGTCATCAGCCAAATTCACTGATTTTCAACGGCCAGCGTTCTCTAGGGGCCCTCTTAATGCCTTCAGGCTGCCACGCTGTCACCCATGTGAAGGTGTCTGACGTTTGTGTTATTCATAGCCGTGATTCTGATCCCCGTGGCCCGACCAGCTCACGTTCCTGAGGTTCCCAGCCCTAGATCCCACTTAATGTGAGTCCTCTTATGTTGCGGCCAGCACCTCCCTCTGGCTCCTCTCACCCCCTGGTTTCAGTTCTCCCCATAGAGACACTGCTATAGATGTCCCTTTGCAGGTTAGTGGAGAGAGTCATTCGCATGAAATTCTGAGTTCAGTAAGGGACAGTTATAAAAACAGCAATAAAAGCCGTATTTATTTTTACAACCGTTCATGCATCAAAAGGCAGAAATCAGCCCACAAATCCTCTCCCCAAGCCCAGCGGCTGCAGGGGTCCTGCTGGGCTGGCCCTGTCCCCGCCAGGGCAGGCCTGAACATCACACACACTACCAGTCTTATTCTGTTTGTGCCACGAAGCCACTGCCCGCCCCTTGCATCAGCTGATAGAGTGGGAATGTGACTGCCTTCAGCTTTACCTCTGCTCACACTGATGCTTATTTGATTGGACAGTTTGAGGTCGCTGTAAAATAAGAAAACACCCAAGAAACTTAAGAGTGCATCCTGCCCCGGAGCCCCCTTTGTATCCAGAAGAATACAAAGTAAGGACTCAAATTTTAAGAGTGGCCAGAAAATGTTTGCTTTTAAAAGCTTTTCAAAGAGTGTTGGATCACCCAGTCTTGCTTCTCATCTTACAGATAAAAATCTAACCTCACACTGACCCAGCCCTTAGCCCAGTGATACCACCTTTCTGGCCTGCTCTCCTTTGAACTCTGACATGAGCGATTGAGGCTCAGAGGGGTGAAGTGTCTCACCCAGGGCTACACAGCTGGGAAGTCAGAGGATGTGTGCTGCAACCATCACCTCCCTGGCGGTCTCAGGCTGGGGCTCCTTCAACAACATAATAGCTAAGATTACGGAACACCACCTATGTGGCAGACCCCGGGCTGAACTGCTTTATTTATTTATTTATTTGTTTGTTTGTTTGTTTGAGATGGAGTTTCGCTGTTGTTGCCCAGGCTGGAATGCAATGGCGCGATCTCCGCTCACCGTAACCTCCGCCTCCTGGGTTCAAGCAATTCTCCTGCCTCAGCCTCCCGAATATCTGGGATTACAGGTATGCGCCACCACGCCCAACTAATTTTCTATTTTTAGTAGAGATGGGGTTTCTCCATGTTGGTCAGGCTGGTCTCGAACTCCTGACCTCAGGTGATCTGCCTGCCCCAGCCTCCCAAAGTGCTGAGATTACAGGTGTGAGCCACCACGCCCAGCCACTGAACTTTAAATGCATCCTTTCATCTATCTTCACCACCACTTTACAGCTGGGGAAACTGAGGCACGGGGCAATTATGACAACTTGTCCAAGGTCCCATACCTCAACAGTTCAGTGTTTCAAGTTGCATGCAGGCAGATGACTCCAAGCCTGGCACTCTTGACCACAGTTTAGGGTGGCCACATGGAGGGTCTCTTCTCAGCTTTCTCCCTATCCATCAGGACACAGCCAATTGCTGCAGTGAGATGGTCTCCGCTATTATGATTACAGAACGTTTTAGATTCTTCCAATTTGATCTAGGAAGTGATTTCAGGAGAATCTTTTCAAAACAAAAGTTATTAATAACTGCTTCTGAAATTGTAATTTGAGATTTTGTACAAAACCTGATTTAGGCTCCAGAACTCCTAATGATGGTTCAACAAATCAGATGGACCTTCATGTGGTTCCAGGCCAAAAGAGGGGGAAAGTACCACAGTTTTCTACAAATGCATCTAAGGTTTCATGTCTCCTTCCCCTCGTCCCTCCCAGTCACCTCCTTTCCCTCCCTTCTACTCAACAGTTTAGAGAAAGGGTAAGAAATCTGGGACTCTCTTAGGCACTAAGGTGACAGCAGACAACACAGGTCCTCGTCTGCCTTAGAAGACCTCTTAGTCTGGCAAGGAAGGGAGGAGTACACAACAGTTTCCCAAGTAAGTGGTTAGAGGAACACACCAGGAACCCTGTAATGCGTGGGCATCCCACCAAGTGCAAAATCCCAGGCAGCCATCCACTGCCAGTGAGCACCCAGAACCAATGTCACCAGGCCCATATGGGCTCATTCACGGCGGGCACTCTGATCCTCTTTGCTCTTATTTTACATCGATTTCTAACACACTTGGGTGTCTTGTTTCCCAACCAAGACTGCATATCAGGAAGCAGCAGACTTGGAAACTGCATGACATTGAGAGAGGAGAAAACAATGCTAGAAACAGTTGTGCTGATGACAGCAAGGTTGGGAGGAGATTCATGCAAGCTGAGCAGTTGCCACCTGTGAGATATTTCACATAATTCCACAGATTCCTCATATCAGTTGTGCAAACTGAGTATTATCATCCCCATTTTTCATGATGGGAGACTGAGGCCCAGGGAAGTGACTATGATTGGCTTCTGTGTTTAAGAAAGAAGGAACCCCAAGGAAAGGTCATCCCAAGTAGATAAGAGAACCACGCCATGACCCTAGGCATTCTGGAAGATTCAGGAAGGTTCAAGAAAATGAAAGCTTCCCCACACTGGGCTTGACAATTGATATTGATCCAATTTTTAGCCCAAGAACTCCCTATCTCCTGCCCTTGCCTCCTTTTCTCCCCTAGACACTCAGGTGCCCACCACGTGGCATGGGCTGCTCTGGTGCTGGAGACACAGGGTTGATAAGATGCAGCCTCCATCTTCAAGGATGGAGACCCACTAATAGCTCTCTCCAGGTGAGGGGAGCACAGTGGAGGGGTAGGAGCTGCTGTGGCCACCCCAGCAATGCGGACAGCGGGGTGGGCCTAAAGCCAGGAGCCTCCTTCATACTGGCAACAGACTGACACTCACACTGAAGCCTGGTTTTCATGCCGAGGACAAACTGCTCGAAAGGAAGGCAGCTGCCTAAAATAAGTCACTTTAAGCGACAGGTCTAATTTTAGAGAAGGGAATTTGAAAGCTTATTGTGTGAGGCAGGGGAAAAAAAACAACAATCCAATACCAAAAAGGAATTTAGAAATAAATAAATAAATGTTTTTATTCCAACTTTTGAATAATTTCCTTTTTCCTTTTTTTTTTTTTTTTTTTTTTTTTTTTTTTTTTTTTTTTTTGTGATAGAGTCTTGCTCTGTTGCCCAGGCTGGGGTGTAGTGGTGTGATCTTGGCTCACTGCAGCCTCTGCCTCCCAGGTTCTAGTGATTCTCCTGCCTCAGCCTACCCAGAGTAGCTGGGTCTACAGGTGCCCGCCACCATGCTTGGCTAATTTTTGTATTTAGTAGGTTTCACCATGTTGGCCAGGGTGATCTCGAACTCCTGACCTCAAGTGATCCGCCTGCCTCAGCCTCCCAAAGTGCTGGGATTACAGGCGTGAGCCACTGCACCCGGTGAACTTTTGAGTGACTTCCAAAGTACGTGAAAACCATTCATCGGTTCCTTAGCATAAATACACTGAGCATCTGTGATGTTGGCTTGATACAGAGGTTCTCAGCTGGGGGCAATTTGCTCCCACTGCGATGTCTGGCAGTGTCCGGAGCCATTTTTGGTTGTCACAGCTGGTGGGGCAGACGGTGCTACTGGTACCTAATGGGAAGAGACCAGCAAGGCTGCCGAATAGCCTAGGCACACAGCATAGCCCCCCTGACAATGAATTTTCCAGCTCAAAATGTATACAGTTATGAGGTTGAGAAATGCAAGTTTGGTACAAAGTGCCTGGGTGGGCTGTACCGGGAGTGCACCCAGCACCAGCAGGTGTGACTTTGTCTGTGCAGGCACCACCCCTGGGACCTTGGGCAAGGCCTGACCCTCCGTGAGCCACAAGTTCTTCGTCTAGAAAATGGGGGCGATACCACCTATCCTGTGGGACCGTTTGGGGCTGGAATAAGATGACAAACACAGAGATGCCTGGCAGTATTTACGGATGTCTCAAGTGACAGGTCATGTCCCCCAAATAATGTCTGGGAAAATGAAGAAGACAAAACAAGTCTTCCAAGGCAGCTAAAATTTTGGATCCATGTTAGCTCTCTTGGACCCGTGAATCTGGATGACAAGGCAGCAGATGCAGGGGAGAGCTGGACCACGGTACAGCGGTGATGCCGGCATGGCTCCCTCTGTATGTAACACGGAAGAAGACTTGTCCCTGTGGCCGCCTAGGGATGGCCTGGGGACACAGCCTGAGTGACATGCATGGGGGTGCTCGGAGGGGGACCCTGAGGCCAGATAGCTGGGGCTCAAGTCCTTTTTCTACTATTCCTTGCTGTTTGACCTTGGAAAAGTGTCTCAACGTCTCTGTGCCTAACAGTGGGGCCTAACTCACAGGGCCGCCATGGTGACAGCTCCTGGCCCACGCTGAGTGCTACATGTATGTGCACTTGATTAGGCTTGCAACCCAGTGGGTGGAGGCCAAGTGAAGGGGAGCAGCTGGCCCGGGTTTCTCACTGCAGGTTTGTGCCCCACTGAGATGGGAAGCCAGGCCTCTGACTCTTGGTCCAGAGCTCTGCTCTGGGTCAGGTAAAGCACGTTCAGCTGCAAGTATTATTCCCGACTTAAACATTAAAGATCATCAACACAGGAGGGCAGAACGCTCTGAGGCTGGGGCCTGGCTTTGGGAGTAGCTGAGATTTTTTTTTCATCATGTGCTTAGGCAGCACGCCTTGCAGGTACACCACAGCGGAATTTATGAAGTTATACGGCGGATGCAAATAGGAAAATGATGTCCCTGTGGAGAAGTGAATTCTGTTTAGAACTGTCATGGTTCTCAATGTAAATGCCTCATTCACTACAGGTTCCATATTCAGTCTTCAAGACTTCAGGCGTTAGCTTTAAGAAATGATTCATTTCCCCTCTCTACTCTCCGAGAACAAGGAGCGCCTCCTTGAGACTGTCTGGCACAACCTCGGTCTCGTCAACAGGAAGAGACAGCAGGACTCTCCCAGGATCACTCGGTTAATGTAGGTAGAGCCACTGACCCAGGCACCTGCTCAACCTGCTGACTTTAACCAGACCAAGGAGAAAGGTAAAAGCAAAAAGCAAGGTGATCTCATTTCATCCTAGTGTTTCCGAAAATAGAACCAACAGTTGTGGAAAGGAGGTGGAACACTGTGGTTGCAGCTTTCTATGCTGCTGTTTTTCCTTCTCTGGACAGGAATGACTCCCCTTCACTTCATCTTCCCTAGACACCCCCAAACGCCCTCCCTGCCCACCTTTGGGGGTGCTGGGCTCATGCTTATTTAGTATAAATGCAAGCTGTCTTACCTAGGGCTCTTCAGAAGGGTGCTGGCGGCTGCCTCTTCTCCCTCCCTCTGGGTTCAGCCAGTCTCCTCTAAAGTGACATGAGTGACCTCAGAGGCAGTTTGCATGCTTTATGCAAGAATCTCCTCTATACTCCCCTGCCAAGTGGTCGGCCAGCCTGTTTGCACACCTCCATAGATGGGGAGCTCACCACCCCTAGAGGCAACCCACTCCATTTGTCCGAAGCAACAATAACAATAAAGATCCAGACTCTGCCTCCCTAAGTCTCCAACCAGGAATTCCACCTTCGAGTGCCCTCAAGGCAGAGGAGACTGCTGCGAACGTCCAAGCGTCTGGGGAACCTCATGGAGAGACCTCCTCAGACTTCCCTGCCTGTGGCAGCTCAAGCCCCAGAGCATTTCTTACTTAAAGCCTTGAGGTTTTTTTCAAGCCAAAGTTGTGAGTTGAAGACAACCCAGCCAAGAGTACTTTTATTAAAATCATCTCAGCGTCTCTCACTTCCGACTTCCTAATATCCGTTTTTTAAAGAACCATGACTTTTAGACATGTCTAGGGATAATTAGTGCTAGCATTTATTATGGGATATCTCTGTGGCCAGCGGCTGACCTGAACACTTTGCATGGATTGTGTCTTTCCATATTATGCGATCCCATTTTACAGATGAGGAAACTGAGGATCAGTCAAATTACATGGTTGCCTAACAGCATAGAGTTTGTGGTGATGACAGAGCTGAGACTTGAACCTGGGCATCCAGGGCCCAAGCCCTGAACCTCCCCGCCCTCTGATCCCTCCAGTCATGCAAAGATGCCCACCGGGCCCCAGGACTCACCGCACTGAGGCCACAGAGCTGGTAGCAGGCCATGGTGACAATCACGGTGACCACCTGCCAGCGGACGTAGCGAGCTCTCAACAACCCCAACAAAAAAAACAAAAAAAAGGTCCCGCCGCACAGCCAGCACAGCCACGACCTCCCCGAAAACACCGGAAACACCCAACAAACCCAAGAACGCCGCAAACACAGCAAAAAGTGGAACACAAGCACGGACAACAGGGACCAGAGTGTCCAACACGGCGAACGACAGGGATGAGTACCACCTCCCAGCCACATACCTTAGCTGGGGGCAAAACTTCGCAAGGGCCTTTGAAACTACGGAGTCCAAAGCCCTTGTTTAAAAATGGGAAAACAGAGGTGCAGCAAGATGCCATGATTTGCCCAACCACCCAGCTGGCTGGGAGAAAAGCTGAGAACGGGGGTGTCTTGACTGTCTCCAACGCAAGGTAGAGCACACCCAGAGTTCAAATCCATCTATAGCATTGGGCAGCTGTGCCCCTGTTCATCTTTTGTTATCATTCCTGCCTCCAATGGCTGTTGTAATAATTGCATGATATCATATACATTCAACCATGGCTTGAAGCTTCCCTCACTGAAGCTCGTTTGCTGAATATTCACTAAGCGCCTCCTGTTTGCCTGGCTCATGCGTTCACCCTCATCACAGGTGTCCTGAGAGCGGTAGGATGTCACTTGGCCAGGATGCCCTGCAGTCCACACTATCGTGGAAAGAAGGATTGAGCTTAATGACTGCAAGGCCCTTTCCATGCGACCCTCTGAAATACAAGAAAACTTGAGTGGAAATAGTCCCAAAGAGTGAATCTTCCCAAGACTCAAACCCACCCTCGTGATTTATGCCTTTTCCATGTTGAACACTGCAAACTTCCAGCCTCAGAGAATCTGTCTTTTTTTTTTGTTTGTTTAAATGAAGACCTTAATTGTTCAAACCTCTATGAATGTATGCTTGAAGGCGGGCTGACTGATTAGACCCCTGAAAGCACAATAATCAGATCATGGGGCGCTTTCGGACACAGATGCCTATACTCAGTGCTCTGATCTTTCTTCCTCCTGCAGGGAAAGGTGGCTATTTTGATGGCTCCTGAGGACAGTCCATTCCAGACACAGCAGGGAGCATCCCTAAAACAGGCTCTGCCCCACAGGGTATGTGAAAATGCTCTTCTTAAGCAAATGCCATTAAATTTGCTCCAGATTCTCCAAGAAGCAAGTACCCTTCCAAAGGTTTTGGAGTGTTATTTCCAGCAGGGTACTAAAAACTGCTTCAGAATGTCTTTTTTTATGAACTATAATTTAATGCTTTCCCCAGCATTTATTAAGGGTAAATGAGAAAAGCAGCTGAATGAGCAACATTTCTGTTTCATGCCCTAAGTATAATATTTCTACTATTTCCTCAAAGTTCAAAATGCAACATTCATGTGATAAAATAACTCTAGACTTTTGGGGTAGAAAACCATTTCTTTCCTTCATGACCTGCATATTTTCTATTATAAAATAAGGATAACTTCATAACCTATTTTTTTTTCTCTTTTCACCATGGCCGCCAGGAAGCTCTCAGACAAATTCAGTGTTTGGCCCTTAACAGAATTTCCTGAACCAAAAAAAATCTCTCTTCTTTCTCTTAAAATTTCCTATCTTCCAGCTCCATCCAAGTCCCTGCAAAGGACATGATGTCATTCCTTTTTATGGATTCACAGTATTCCATGGTGTATATGTACCACATTTTCTTTATCCAGTCTATCATTGATGGGTATTTGGGTTGATTCCATGTCTTTGCTACCGTGAACAGTGTTCAGCAAACTAACGCAGGAACAGAAAACCGAACACCACGTGTTCTCACTTATGTGGCAGCCGATCAATGAGTTCTCACTTAAGTGGCAGCCGATCAATGAGATCCCATGGTCACAGGGAGGGGAACAACACACATCGGAGCCTGTTGGGGGGCTGAGTAGGGGGAGGGAGAGCATTAGAAAAAATAGGTGATGGGTTGACGGGTGCAGCAAACCACCATGGCGCACGTTTACCTATGTAAAAAACCTGCCCATCCTGCACATGTATCCTGGAACTTAAAAATTAAAATTAAAAAAATTCTGATCTTGTCTTAAAGCTTCAATTCAACCCTCCTATTGTATATATGTTCATAAAGTGGGTGACACTGTTTCAGAGTGACCCCCAGCCTATGAAGGAGCAAGGAGGCTGTCCAAGGGCCCAGCCATTTCTGCCCAGTGGGGGATTTCCTGCAATGCACAAGTTTCTCCAGAGCTCTCCCCTGGACTTGCCGAGACTTTGCCAGGGGCACTGTGGCCTGATAGCTCCTCCTGCCCAATTCTTCTCCCATCCTTGTCACTTCCCAGGTGTTACTCTCCATTGAAACTTTGGCACTCCTAACTCATTCTCAGATCTGCTTCCGGGAGAACCCAAACCTGCACCGAGGACTTACCTGCCGGGGCCTCCCACACCCTTCAGCCCCTGCCTCTTGAGTGCCCTGCAGGACCCTGGCCCAAGCAGGTCAGCCTTCTATTTCCCTAACTGCCAAGTAAGCCCGCCCCCCACCCCTCCATGACTCTCTCACTATTTTCAGTCACTCCTAACAACGGCCTGTCGGGATTTGGGCTTGGGGTCCTCACTATTCCACATGTATCCTTTCTGGCTGAGGGCTCACAGATACTCTTTTGAAAATAGCAAACACAGAAGACTGAGCTGGAGTCCTGAGGGGGCACCAAGGAGGGGGCGTTTCAGGCTGCCAGAGAAGGCAGGGGCACTCTGGGCAGGAAGCAGAAGGGTGGAAAGTCGTCTTCTATTCCTGACACTAGGGTAAAGCAAGATACATTCTGTAAGGTACATGGGTGTGCTTTGGTCAAGGAATAGGCCGAGGCAAACATCCGGGCCAGAATGACTCAGTGAGTTTAGGTGCGCAGGTGCATACTCCACTTGTTTATAACCTGTTTCTGTAAGTTCATACTTGGCTTGGAGCCACTATCGTTTGGGAAGGTATACTGCCCTGCTGACACTGTACAGGGCTCTTGGGCGTGGCTCCACATGACTCTTGTGCAGCTGCTGGCGCCCAGAGAAAGAGCGAGATAACCAGAGCCGCCCATCTTGCAGATGGACAGAGGGGAGCCAGGGCAGGGTTCAGCACGGCACGGCATGGCACAGTTCGCGCTCGTGCCCAGAGAGAGAAAGAGTTAAGTTGCTGACCCTGAAGGCGAGAGAGAGCTGGCTGTGCAGCTGAGCGTGGGAGTGGCCGGCTCGAGCAGCCGAGACAGAATGGACGGTGTCTGAGAGCTGCTGATGAGAGAGCTGCTGATGAGAGAGCTGCTGATGAGAGAGCTGCTGAGTCAAACCATATTCACCTGCTTACAGCCCCCCAGGTGTTTTTTCAGCTACCTGTCCATCCACCCACCTTCCTCGGGCCTCAGCTGGGGCTGGAACCTGACACATTCATCTGCACCTCTGGCTCTTTCCTCAATCTGGAATGTTCTTTTGACCTTTCTGCACCTGGCTACTCGCTTCGTTCTTTGAATCTTATCTCAGACACCTCCGGGAAGCCTTCTCTGATGCTTTCCTGGCTGGATGACAAGGGAGGAGCAAGCCAAGGAGGGCCTTGAGTGTTTGCATGGGGATGAAGTTCCTGCCCACAGGTCACAGGGGATGGCAAGACCAATAGTTCTGAGCGCCCCAAAGGTGCCAGGCATGGGCCTTGGGAGCTGGGCATATGGTGATTTAAAAAAAACACCAACCCAGATTGTCCCATCCTCTGGTCCAGCCTCATTATCTTATGACCAACAAGGAACAAAGAGAGAAGCTGGTGCTTTAATTTGCGACACGTGTTCCTTGTGTCCCTGTAGCAGGTGCTGCATGCCACCCAAGTCTCTCCTGCACATGGACAGCTTCCTATGCCCAGCACCTGTGCCTCTCTGTCTGCGGCTTTCCCTGGGCACAGGTGTGTGCTCAGCCCTCAGCAGTTAACACCCCCAGGAGCAGGCCTCACTTAATGACAAAGCTGATGTTAACAGAGGTATACCTAGCTTCCTCGCAGACAGCTGAGTGAGTTCTACGCTGTGCCCCAGAGGTGACTGGGGGGGTGGGGTCCCAGTTGCCCACAGCTGACACCTGCTCACTGATGAACCTCAATGCCTCCTCCGCTTCCCTGTCCCACTTCCCAGCTGGGGAAGTGACGCTTCCTCAATTGCACCCTCCGCTTCCCTGTCTCATTTCCCAGCTGGGCAAGTGGTGCTTCCTCGAGTCACCTCGCAAATAAACTTCCCATCCTCAAAACCTTGACTCAGGCTTTGGGGGCACCTGACAACAATCACAAAGTCACCTAAACTAGATGCCTGTGGTCACATAACCCAGACACTGCCTTCTGTGTCTGATTTGTCTGA